GGGGCCGTGGCTCGGTTTTCAGGTTGCTTTTCACTTTTGCTCGAATCGGGTCTCGGGACGAGCACGTGTTGACGAAACGGTATGGGGGCCTCTCCACGTCGAGAATTGGGGAAATGGGTGATGCTAATTGCTAATGCGACGTGTGGATGGAATATCTTCTGTTTTATTATTATTATTATTATTGTTGTTGTTGTTGTTGTTATATTTTTTTTCTTTTTTGAAGAAAGTAGCTGGAGTGGATTGTTTGAACAGGTTGAATGATGAATTAGGTAGGTTTGTTTTGTGAGAAATTATTATTGGAAGTTTGGTGAGACGATTGTAAAAATTTTTGTATTAGGTATAAACATAATTTTAGTATAAAACGAGTTTTGGTATAACCTACATGTTTGGTTTTCTAAGGAGATAACGTATTAGGTTATTTTATGTTAATGTACCCTTCGTAGTTCTATTAGTAGCTCAGTAATGCGAACACCTGCAGCTTAACGTTGGTATGTGACTAATGTATCTTGAATTTCCACTCACTATTCGTTTCCTTGAATGAAACGATTAAAATTAACTTTTTTTTTTCTTTTTTTGAAGCATTCAGTAATCAATTAATAGAACGACTTGTAAGGTATTTTATTTATTTAGAAAATATTATTTAAATAAATTTCTTTAGTAGGGCGAAATTAAACAATCGAAATTATATATTTTTTTTTTTGTTTTGGAACTTTGTTTGAATCAGCTCTTGGGATTATTATTTTGTTTATTATTAAATCATAAACAAGATCTCGATTTTTGAGTGTTGTACATTCTGAAATACCGATAGTTGTTTTGATGTATGTTCTATAATTTTTACTTAAGAATTATAATATAATTAGAGGTAAAGTTTTTATAGTAAAAAATTTTGTTAATATTAAATTTTTATTAATGGATCGATTAAAATTTTGAAATTTTATATCTTTACCGATATTACGATCGATTTTATACTGAACTGATAATGTTTCATATAAAATGAAACGACAATGAAACATCTATAATATCAACTATCGGTAAAAAAGATGTTTTGACACCTTGTAGTATCTGTTGGAAAGAAAGAGATCAACAGATCTTTAAAGAATTGAAAGATTAATAATATTTTCATTATTATTTAATATTAAACATTTTTTGAATTGAAATTTGCCCTATAAAATTAAATTGAAATAAATTTCAAATTATATATGAAATCAAATAAAAATTATTACATCCCAATAAAGAAATAATAATAAATTGAAACGGTAGATGGCGCCAGTATGAACTATTTGACATTTCTTCCACGTTATTAACGTTATTTAAATATGCGCATAATTTACAAATAAATTTTTTTTCTATCTTAAAGAAAATTATAGACCAAACAACAAATTACAGTCCATTCTAGTTTAATCGGGACAAAAATTTCCAGAAATAATTCTTCGTGATAAGATTATCAATCCTCTTATCAACAAACTTTTAAATATTGAACAATAGTGAAAATTCGTGCGTACACAGTTAAACACGATAAAATCAACATCAAATCACATTCAACATTTATCGATCAAAATTATATCTCAACAAATTCAAGAATAATAATAATACACATTCATATACATTATTTTTTTTAATTCTTCACTTTTTTCGTTTAATTTAATTAAACGAAACTTCGAAATTATTTTCCAATATTTCCAATATTGTTTCTGAAGAAAATTGACCTGTCGTAAATGGATCTAATAAAAAAAAAAAAAATAATAATAAATTGTTAGATCGAATTTCTCGGGCGCATGTATATTTCATAGAGGTTGACAATTTTTATATAGATTCAAAGAATTATTATAATTCAGGTACACGATACCCTCCTTCGATTGATATGGATGAGACGGCCCGATTTTTGATATACGCTCGATTTGAAATGGAAAATCATGCCTGGATTGGATTCGCACGTGAGCTGAAATAAAGTTACATCGGCAGGTTTAAGCCTCCTCTCCTATATTTGCCTGTCCTTTTGCCGTATATCGATATACCAATCCCACATAATACGTGTGCTAGAATTTATATGGTGCTCGTTACAGGAAGTCCCCTCCCTCCCCTCTATCCGACATGCATGAAATTAATAACCGTGCAACGAGCAGTATTTTATTCCGCGCGGATCTCTTTCCAAAAATGGGAAAGGAATCTGGAACCGTCTGGCCTTAATTCTCAAGAATTTCACTTCATTCCTCGTTTCGCAATAAAGTCGATTCTGCCATCAAATCCCGCGACGAAGGATTGAAAGAAAGCTCAATTCTCGCCGCCAAACATATAAAATTGTAAAAATTCCGCAATCACAAAAAAAAAATGGAGATAAAGAGAACAAAATCGATAAAAATTCTATCTGCATCCAAAAATAAAAAAAAAAAAATGGAGATAAAGAGACGGAATCAATAAAAATCTCAACCGACGAAATACTCGAAAATGGAGTCCAGAAAAAAGAAGTCCAAAATCAATTTCTGAGATTAAAAAACCCAACCGACGAACAAAAAAAAAAGAAATAGAAAGAGATCCAAAACACGATGATCAATCATTCTTCTCACGACATACAACACGCACACAAATATATTCCTCGAAAAACATATTACTCCATTTCCACAATCCCCTCCCTCCTCCTCCGACTTGTTTCACCCCAACGATACTTCGCCCAACTAATTTCAAACTCGGTATAAAATTAAGAAAATCTATCCACGAGGGTTCGAAAAAACTTGGGATCGGATCGGAAGTATCCTGCGATGAAAGAGTTCCGCAGAAGAAAAGCACGGTTTAAGGGTAACCTTACGCTCACCCTTGGCGGACAAAAGAGGAGGGTGGGGGGCAGAAAGAGAAAAGAGAGAGGCGAGCAGACGCGCGAGCCAGTTCCTGGCAGCAACTTAAATTGACTCGATAAAAGTTCGCGGAATAAAGCGGCCCTGGGCTTCGCCACTATATCAGAAACATCTGCCAAACGTTATTACAACTTTGAATAAAGAACGGCGGCGGGCGGAGGGGCGGTTGGCGAAAGGGGGTGTTAACCGTTTGGGAAGAAAGAGAGGAAAGTTCCTTTTCTCGGTGGTGGACGGGCCTCCTCGTCCCTGGCGCAATGGAAACTTTTTCGCTCCTTCTCGACCGTGAGAACTTGGACGATAAATCAACCCGTTATTTTAATTTTTCCAAGGAGGGGGAGGCGGAGAGGGAGGGGGCGGGAGGTTGTATTAGCCGCGGCACGCCACCGGCTCGCCACGATTCCTTTTAATTTCCGCTGACATGATCACATAGTCGTCTCTCTGTCCTTTATGCGTGACAATAGGTGTTCTTTTTTCTTTTTTTTTTTTCTTTCATCGAATCCGAAACGATACAGAAGAGAGAAGAAGGAGAGAAAGAGAACGATTTATATTCGTCTAAAAATCGAGTAGGATGCTCTTCGAATGTAACCCCATCTTGTGACGATTCTTTGCAATCGAAATTTTGGATTTTGGAACGAAGATTCATTTTTGAAGATGTAAATCATCATCGAAAATGTGCGTATTACTTATTTTATTCAATGATATCAACTGTTCGTTTATCCAGCCAAATGTTTTTTACTGATACAATTAAAATATCTAATTTGATACTGATATTGCAATGTATAAGATCTGTTATAAAAGGAGGTTTTTTTTTGCTTCAAACGAGAGAAGTGAAGATTGAATGGCGAGGAGAGGATCGACAACAATACTCAACATCTCACAAAAGTTCTATATATATATTTTTTCTTCGACGAGATATCAGGAATAACGGTACACGGTATTGAATAGCATCCTCTGATTAAACTCGCGCGGGGAAATAATTCCAAGACGAATCAATTAAAAAAGCCAAGGAGACAAAGGAGTGGATCCTTGGAGTGGAGAAACAAACAGACACGGAATCTGGATTGGCGTTGTATCTCAATTTATAATGCAATCGCTTCTTCCTTCGAGGCTTTCAATGGATCCCCGTCGATCCCCTTCG